TAGCAGATGATAGGATGAAGGAAGGAGGAGAAATGGAGGAACGAGAGAGAAATAGAAATACCATTTACCTCTAACCCCTCAATCCACCTCACCACTTCACATTTATATAAGAAAAAAACTGAGTTGAAATCAAGGCAGACAGCCGAACGACCACGACATCCAGAACGTCACACTCCCTGAAGGTTAATCTGAGTTGCTATGTCACCGCAACCTCCAAAAAGAAAAAAACACACTTAAAACACACTTAAAACACACTTAGTTGTTGAAGTAAACTCATATCACAAGTCCCTCTTCTGTCGTTACCCTAAGACGCGAGGTTTATATTCTCACTCGTGTTGGTTTATGTTTGTTTTCATTGACTTTCATTTCATCAGGGTTTATTTTTGAGGGTTTATTTGGGTTTAGTCTGTTTCAGTGTTTGTCCAGTCGTCTCTGAATCTGAACTGTAAACCGAACAACGTGTAGAAGCTGTGTCAGTGTCTTGTTGTGATAGAAATGACAAATATTCGGTACTAAACATCTTTTCCTCTTATCCGAATTATATTATCCGAATCCTGGGGTAAATTAATCATTCATGCGTCCCTTATTCCTGCCGCCATTACTGAAGCTTCACCTTTGGCTTCGGATTTCCAGCTTCGTCCTTTGGTCTCGTCAGCTTCTTCTTGAATAAGCCAGGTCCTTGATGTGGACTGACTCCACCTCTCCCACACAGATTCTGACTCTAAGCTCTTGTCCTAATGATGCACCTGTTGTAAAGCGCTGGAATACCTCAGGGTTTTAGTCTTGGTCTTAACCTAACTTAACCTAATCTAACTTAACAGTATCTAACCTAAACTAACCTAACTTAATACAATCTAACAAAACATAACGTATGATAACGTAATTTCTGTGTGTGTGTGTGTGTGCGGTTCTGCAGAGTGATTCCTTTGTGTGTGTGGTTCTGCAGAGTGATTCCTTTGTGTGTGTGGTTCTGCAGAGTGATTCCTTGTGTGTGTGTGGTTCTGCAGAGTGATTCCTTTTGTGTGTGTGGTTCTGCAGAGTGATTCCTTTGTGTGTGTGGTTCTGCAGAGTGATTCCTTTGACACCGTTTCCTGCCAGTGATTCCTTTTGTGTGTGTGTAGTTCTGCAGAGTGATTCCTTTTGTGTGTGTGGTTTCTACAAATGCAATTCCCTTTGTGTGTGTGGTTCTACAGAGTGATTCCTTTGTGTGTGTGGTTCTGCAAGTGATTCCTTTTGTGTGTGTGGTTCTGCAAGTGATTCCTTTTGTGTGTGGTTCTGCAAGTGACTCCTTTGTGTGTGTGGTTCTGCAGAGTGATTCCCTTTGTGTGTGAATGGTTCTGCAGAGTGATTCCTTTATTATTAGTATTAATGGTTCTGCAGAAATTGATTCCTTTAATGGTAATGGTTCTTAGAGTGATTCCTTTGTGTGTGTGTGGTTCACACAGGTAGTTCCTTTGTGTGTGTGGTTCTGCCATTGGACCCCAACTGTGTGTGTGGTTCTGCAAGAGTGATTCCTTTGTGTGTGTGGTTCTGTAGAGTGATTCCTTTGTGTGTGTGGTTCTGCAGAGTGATTCCTTTGTGTGTGTGTGGTTCTGAAAGATAGTTTTATTGCTCATTTCGCCTCTCACAATACTAATAAACCAATCCCCGTTTACCCACAAAAAAAGCCACATTTCACCTCACCAAAAACAAACGTTACAACTACCTATTTTTAGTTTCCATCCGCCAAACAGAAAAACCAAAATAACACCCCACGCCAAAAACAGAAAAGGAAATAACCCATTGGTTCTTTTCATCCACAAAATAGGGAAAAAAAAGGGAAAACATTTCACTACCGCCAAAAAGATTTCCTAAGTTCAGAAGGTTACACTAACTCATACCTTACACAGGAAACTATTTATGCAGTTTGTAATCATCTTCCATTATGCTTACTGTTCCTGTCTCTATATACACAAGGTCCTCCACTTCCGCTTGTTAGAGAGGCCAGTGATCATTCGTGTCATATTTCACATAAAGATGACAATTAATATAGATGGTATTGTCGTGTACACTGTCAAGCTGCTATGGGTAGATTATAGTTGTCATAAAGTGGGTTTTTGGTACACACACACATATACACACACACATACACACATACACACACGTACTCTGTCTCTCTCTCTCTCTCTCTCTCTCTCTCTCTCTCTCTCTCTCTCTCTCTCTCTCTCTCTTGAAATACTTGTCATATAAACTGATCAAGTCTTCATATTTTCTTGTTAAAAAATATCGTGTATGTGAATTTTTTTTTTATCTAGGAACTATGATGCTAGATGGGGCTTTATAACATCTTGAGTATGATGAAAATTGTTTCATTATACTCGAGGAATAGATCATTATTCTCAAGAGTTAAATCATCGTACTCAAGGGGTTAAGTAGTCGTACTCAATGGGGTTAAAGTTATCGTACTCAAGAGGTTAAGTAGTCGTACTCAATGGGGTTAAAGTTATCGTACTCAAGAGGTTAAGTAGTCGTACTCAATGGGGTTAAAGTTATTGTACTCAAGAGGTCTCACCGTATTCCAGGGATTGTCATCATTCACAAAGGCGCTAAGTCATTGTATAGAACACTTTAATATAATTTATGCTAAGTCTAAATAGATTTCTACGTTTGGTCATTTCTTGTTACTTTTAAGCAAATTTTATATAATTCAACTAAGAAAAATCCTAATTATAAGGGAATCATTTGAGTCTTTATAAAATCTTAGATAAGACTTTCAAAATTTAAGGCGAATTATAGGAGCCAAGTAACATAAAGAGGCGTTCATAAATGGCGTGGAATTATCTCAAATGTTTTGGATATCAGCGCCACAATGCCATTTCTTCCTACGCCAGATAACCAGAAAAAGGGAAAAATGAATATAAACTCACAAAGGGTTTTCCTGGTGGAGATATTCGTTGTAGATCAGAAAATTGCGTGAAATAAGTTGTCATGTTATGGTACCGTCAACACAACAATTTTCCCCTCCCGCCAACCAGTCAATAGACGAGACTCCAACTCCCACGGGTACAGCTCTTATTTTCAGACATTTTATTCGTAAAAAGTGGATACGTGACATCCTATCGCTTACCCATTTCTGCTCCACATTTTTGTGAAAGGCATCTCGGCTCATCCTAGAAAATCTCTATGAAAACTCATTTTCCACCGTCAAAGCTGAACAATCGGCGGCAATTTCTCGGCCGTAATAGAAAACGGGCAAATCCCCCTACGCTCAGTTGCCATGAATGGAACCCAAATGCCTTTTTCAAGTCACTTCGTTCATTTTTACTCCCCTTATCATTGTTACCCAGATGGTGAGGAATATAGCAAACGTAATTACTTTGAATGCGACCAAAAACTGAGAATAATATATGGATATCTTTCCTGGCTAAAAAAATATGAACAATATTACTTCTTGCCAACTTTCTGACGGTCGTGATCCCCGCACCTGCTAAAAGAGCCGCTTTTTCGCCGCGCTGATACCGTCCCTCACCCCGGCTCGGCCCTGATTAAAACAAACCTCTAAAGCAGGATCAGGGAAGCTTATGGCAGTCTGGGCGGGCCGGGGGGACTCGTTGCAGTCAGTCTCGGTCAGAGGAGCATCTCGAGCCTTCACCAGCACTACCACTCAACCTCGCCAGATGACGCTCCAGGCCCACGCTAACCTCCCACCTTTAAAGGACAGGTATAATTCACTTGTTGTTAACGGTATTTAGAGAATTTACATATTTTTATTGAGAAAATCCATAAATTAAGATTGGCTTTGTGATGCATTCTGGTTTGTACTTGAGTTTTCGTTATATACATCTACAAGTCAGGGGGATATGACTACCTATTTTTTACTGTCACAATGTAAACAAACGGTGGCTTGTTCCCCCCCCCCCACACCCACGAATTATATTTTCTCAGGGAAGATAATTCACTTTCTTGACTTATTATTTCCATTATTTTAAGCTGTAAGTGACTTCCTGGTGAAGGTAATAATAATAATAATAATAATATAAAGCTTGGCGTAACAGAAGTGGCCACACGTCTGGGTTAATCGAACACAGCCGAACGATCACAGGAGTCGCCAGAATAACGTGATCAAAATAAACCTTCCAAATCTCTTCTGAAATGCAGATCGCGCGAGCAGTGTTGTAGGGGAGGGCAGCACACACCCGCCACCACCCCTAGCACCTCTCTCTTCCCGTGTTCACACTACAAAACACTCGATATCTTCCTTTACCCTTAGGGGACGCGTCGTTTTGTATATTTTCTGTTAATTGGGTTTGTGAAGGGAGACGTTATTACAGGTGAGAGGGTAAGGTGAGATGAAGGGTTGGAGGAGGACCTTGGCAACAGTGGATGAGGGAAGGACGGGGTCGTACTTGAGGTAAAATGGGATCACCCTCAGCTTTGCTCACTGGCTTGCTAAATTGCAATCGACACCGACCCCATGTGAGGGGAGAGAGGGCGGTGGGGAAAGCCCAAGGGGAGGGGAGGAGGGGGAATTAGAGGGGATTTATTTGGGGTTTGAGGGGAGATTGTGGCTTCCCTCTGAGGGGATTAGAGGAGAGGCATATATGTGCTCATCCCTCCAGTGTACCGGTGCGGGTGTTCACTACACTTCACGCTCAATGTGTTCATTATCCTCACTGGTCTGGCAAGTGTTGGTCAGGCTCATGGCTCACAGATGACATGGTACTGTTTTGTGGACCTGTGTGTGTCTCCGCATCATCTCTCCCCTCATCTTCTCTCCCCTCATCTTCTCTCCCCTCATCATCTCTCCCCTCATCTTCTCTCCCCTCATCTTCTCTCCCCTCATCTTCTCTCCCCTCATCTTCTCTCCCCTCATCATCTCTCCCCTCATCTTCTCTCCCCTCATCTTCTCTCCCCTCATCATCTCTCCCCTCATCATCTCTCCCCTCATCATCTCTCCCCTCACCACCTCCCCTCACTTCCACCAACCTCCGCTAACCTCCATCTTTGTCTCCCTTCTGCAGGAGATTTGGGACGAAGTGTTCGGGATGTCTGCAGGGCATCTCGCCGCAGGATCTAGTGAGGAAGGCTCGTGACCGCGTCTTCCACCTCAAGTGCTTCACCTGCTGCGTCTGCCGCAAGCAACTCTCCACCGGCGAAGAACTCTACGTGCTTGATGAGAACAAATTCATATGTAAACAAGACTACATGAGCGGCAAGGCAATGTCTGGTAAGTCCCTAAGACACCAACCTAACCCACCTCCTCCCCCTACCACCGGTAAGACCCCAGTAGTGTTTTAAAGACCTTCCTGGAGAAACTCTTGTAGTCTTAAAGACCAGAGTAGGTCTTTTGTGGTCATTATGAGCGCCCCCTCCTTAGTAAGACCTACCCACGAGCAGTCTTATGAACCAATTAGGATCTCTTGAGTCCTGTAAGTCCGTCAAGATCCCTGGGGTCCTTCGTCAAGACCGCTGTAGACTAATGGGTCGGTTAGCACAGCAGCACATTAAAAAACTAAACCTAACCTAACCTAACCTAGCCTTCCTCTGCATCTGTTTTATGTTCACTGCTCATAGATAAAAAATGGTATTATAGACAGGCATAGGGAGGTGGGCGACGGTGATGGGCGGCAGTGGTGATGGTGGGCGGTGATGGTGGTGGGCGGCAGTGGTGGTAGTGGGCGGTGATGGTGGTGGGTGGTAGTGATGGTAGTGGGCGATGATGGTAGCATTGGGCGGCAGTGATGGTGGGAGGTGGCGTAGATAGCGGTGGGCGGCAATGGTGGCGGGTCCCAAACCGCCGCCCGCCATATCTGCCACCCACCGCCGCCACCCATCACATCTAAAATAGACATCACCCACTCCTGATAACGCCCACGCCACGCCCACGCCACGCCCACGTAATGCAAGTCTGGGCGGCTTGTGTGTCTTCCGTAGTGAGTCGTGGACGATTAACTACGTGTGGTGTAGGGGCGGCCAGAGGTGGTGTAGGGACGGCCAGAGGTGGTGGGGGGGGCAGCAGAGAGTGGAGGGGCCGGCCAGGGGTGGTGGGGGGCAGCTAGGAGTGGTGGAGGAGCAGCCAGGGCGTGTAGGGGCGGCCAGGGGGTGAATGTGCAAGGCAGCCAGAGGTGGTGTAAGGCGGCCAGAGGTGGAAGGCCAGCCAGGGGGTGGTGGGGGGGCAGCTAGGGGTGGTCTGGGGCAGCCAGGGGTGTTGGAGAGCCGGCTGGGGGGGTGGTGGAGGGCAGCTAGGGGTGGTGTAGGGCAGCAAGAGGTGTTGGAGGGGCAGCCAGGGGTGGTGGGGGGGCAGCTAGGGGTGGTGGAGGGGCAGTCAGAGGTGGTGTAAGGGCAGCCAGAGGGTGTTGGAGGGAGCCAGCCAGGGGTGGTGGGGGGCGGCCAAGGGGTGGGGTGCTGGGGCGACCAGGGGGTGGCGGAGGGGCAGCCAGAGAGATGAAAAAGGAAACAGACAGAGAGCTAAAGAAAAAAAAGAGAGAGAGAGAGAGAGAGAGAGAGAGAGAGAGAGAGAGAAGGAAAGAAAGAAAGAAAAAAGAGAGAGAGAGAGAGAGAGAGAGAGAGAGAGAGAGAGAGCACCTGGGGTTGACCAATGGGGAAGGGTTATTACCCGGAGTGAGCCGCACGACAGCCTCAATAATACCAAAACAAATGAACGCGTCGCCAAAGTTTTCACACAATACCGCTTCATGTGACGTTGACCGCAGATTAATCCGTCGCTTCTAATAATATTTTCCTTATTGTTTTTGTTGTTGTTTTCATCTTTGTAATATAAATGAACATAATGTATAATTTATTCATATATTTATTTATTTATTGTGAACTGATGTAAATATTCCTGTAAGTTTAAATTTATTGATTAATCTATTTGTTAATGGAAGGAAAACAATTATCGATTGATCTTTCTTTTATATTTTTGTTTAATATACAGGTAATGTGGTATAGTGCAAGGACAGGTGTAGGACAGGTTACATATGCAGGTATAGAGTAATTAGATACACAGGTAGATTGAGGTACAGGTAGGGATAATAATACTAAAAGTTGGCTGTTCTTAATGAACGTTGGATTATCTTGGAACACACACACACACACACACACACACACACACACACACACACACACACACACACACACACAAGCAACAACAACACAACACAACACAACACAACAGTAGTATCCAGAACCAAGGCAAAATACGTATAATCGTAACTGTTAATGACTGAGTATCCGGAGTGTGTGTGTGCAGCCGTCTGGAGAATCATAACAGGAGTGCTTTTTGTTGTGTGTGTGTGTGTGTGTGTGTGTGTGTGTCCTCACTGTGGTTCCTGGATTCAAGGTCAGTTGTGTGGCGCTGTTGCTGTTGTCTTGGCGTTCCTAAAGAGGGAAAGGGAGATGTACTGAGACCCAATGTGTTTTGTATATACCTTTGGCCTTAATGTCCCTGTGCGTTTATGAAGGTCGGACGTGTTGACTGACCTTATAAAAAAACAGGATACTGCCGCCTACTTCCTCGCAATTGTCTGTCCAGTGAGGAAGGAGACAAGAGAGAGAGGGAGGAAGGAGGAATGAGGGTAGACAGAGAGGGAGAGCAGAGGAAAGAGGAAGAGGGATGGGAAGAGGATGTAGACAGAGGGAGAAAAGAAGTGAGAGAAGGAGAGAGAGAGAGAGATTAACACTTACTTCTTCTCTCCTATGTGATCATCAAATCCCCATCACAGATAAAAATAAACAAAGTTATCATACGGCTGGCAGCGAGGTGTACATCGTCTTATTATTTTGCTCTTTACTTCCTTATTTGTGACTTATTTACTTATTTATTATACTTATTGCGTATTTTTAGTCATTGGTTTACACTCTGCACTCACCTGTCATCAAGATCTAGTTAGGGAAGGATTCTCTCGTGGATGAAAAAAGCAATATTATTATTATTACCTGTAGAACGTGACGTCATTTTACTCCTGGTGTGAAAAGGCTGAGTACTAGTGGGATACGGTAACACAAGGTTGAGTACTAGTGGGATACGGTAACACAAGGTTGAGTACTAGTGGGATACGGTAACACAAGGTTGAGTACTAGTGGGATACGGTAAAACAAGGTTGAGTACTAGTGGGATACGGTAACACAAGGTTGAGTACTAGTGGGATACGGTAACACAAGGTTGAGTACTAGTGGGATACGGTAACACAAGGTTGAGTACTAGTGGGATACGGTAACACAAGGTTGAGTACTAGGATACTGTATTGAAGGTTGAGTATAATTAGTGGGATACGGTAACACAAGGTTGAGTACTAGGTGGATACTGTAACACAAGGTTGAGTACTAGGATACGGTAACACAAGGTTGAGTAATTAGTGGGATACGGTAAATACAAGGTTGAGTATCACTAGTGGGATACGGTAACACAAGGTTGAGTACTAGTGGGGATACGAAAAATACAAGGTTGAGTAATTAGTGGGATATTGTAACACAAGGTTGAGTACTAGGTGGGATACTGGTAATTGGTTGCTGTTGAGTACTAGTGGGATACAGTACACAAGGTTGAGTACTAGTGGGATACGGTAAATACAAGGTTGAGTACTAGGTGGATACGGCACACAAGGTTGAGTAATTAGTGGGATACAAAAATAAATACTTTGACATATAATGAGGAAAAGTAATAATAGTAGAAATACTATTGGGCTAAATTCTAGGTAGGTGGGCCAGGGGAAGGTAGAGACTGGGATGGATGGATGGATGGATGGATGGATGGCTGGATGGGTGGATGGATGGATGTATGGGTGGATGGATGGGTGGATGGATGGATGGATGGCTGGATGTATGGTTGGATGGATGTATGGGTGGATGGATGGGTGGATGTATGGGTGGATGGATGGATGGGTGGATGGATGGGTGGATGAAATTAAATCCTGTGGGCCCTAGAGAGATACAAAATAATGAAAAATCGGCAAAAAAAAAATTCTATACCCCGATAACATAATGTATTAGGGAACAGTGGTCGCCAACCCTCAGACGTGATGATGGTACCTTAAGTGATCGATTGACCTGAGATGATGTATAATGTTGTATTAAGAGTCATACATTTACCCTCTGACAGCCAAGGAAACACTGACCTCCTCACCGTCTTGATTCAACTTTATAATAGGTTGGGGTGGGGTGGGGTGGGGTGGGGTGGGGTGGGGTGGGGCGAGGTGTTGTCATGGCTAGATATTTATTCATACAAAACTTTTATAATGTGAAAAAATAATGAAGTCTTTATATATCCAACACATCAGACTAACACACACACACACACGCAGATTACATCACATGGGACGAAAATAGAAACGTAACAACATATGACATTTGCAGATGACAGAAAAAAACCTCACGTGTGTTTTTAATAATAAGGTAATTACAATCCGCCGGATCCCTAAAGAGTCAGGTTAAAAAAAAAATACAATAAAAAAAGAAACCGCCATTTCACGAGTCATTTCAACTCAGGAAGGCGAAAACTGACTTCACAAACATATGTGTTGTCTTACGCTTCGAGTCAATCAAGCGGGTGGAAGGAACGCATTTTAATCTATGGTGAATAATAATTGATTTTCTTGTGGTTTAATTTACATGTTCTTGTGGTTTAGTGGGAGATATTTCGACCTGCCTTGTATAGTTGTCATGAGTTGAAATAGTCACTCCAAAAACTATCTGTATTTGTGGTGATCGATGAATTTCTGAATGAACACTGTGACTCCTGTTGTCTCGGTAGGGTTGTCAGAATCGTTCGTCCGCTGTGTCATATTTTTTCAACACAATTTTGTATAGATAGTTTTTTTGTGTGTGATATATTAGAATGTGTGTGTGTGTGTGTGTGTGTGTGCCTGTGTGTGTGTGTGTGTGTGTGTGTTTGACAGTGTGTGTGTGTGCCTGTGTGTGAGTGTGTGTGTCAGCCGGCGACCTACACACCTGGTCTCTGACAAGGTGAAAAACACATTAATAAACACCTAAGTCTTCAAGCCAGGTATTTCCCCGGGAGATGTGGGTGACGGGGCACAATGTGGCTTCGACAATAGCACCAGTTTTTAGTCCAATACCACAACCTCTCTCTTGTGGCGATGAAAGATGAACCGCTAATCACCTAACCTAACCTGTCCTAACCTAATCTAACGTGACCTAATCAAAATCGTGACTGCCCAATTCAAACGAGTCAATACTCTTCGTTTTTATCCGTTTAACTGGTATCCG